GTGGTATTGGAGGTAGGAGCTGATGGTGGGCATCGGAGGAGGAGCTGATGGTGGCATATTGGCGGAGGAGCTGCGTTGGAGACTGGGAGGAGAAGACTGAAGGTGGTGATGGTTGGGACTTTGGAGGCATTGGAGTTGGTAGTGGTCATGCAGGTAGCGATGGAGAAATTGGGTGGGTGGATATTAATATACGATATCTTATGCTATCATGCCTGGATATGTGCATGCAATGATGAATATATAGTAGATATTAATTATATAAATTACTTGAATTTTGTGAAATGATGCCCACTCCCATATGTATGGATGCAAATAAATTAAATATTGCTATAAAATTAGCGAAAAAATTTGAGTTTAATTTAAGTTACGCATATATTTAGCCTTATTATTAAATTTGTTTAATCTATATATTTATTAGGAGCTAGGAATGGTAGTTTTCTTTCTGAAAAGTGATTTTGTGATAGTTCATATGAACGACTTAATACTCATTTTTAGAAGTATACAGTATCATAAAGGATAATAATATTTTAACAATATTTTTTACAATATTTTCATCTATGTGTTATTCGGTTAAAATATTGTCAAAGTATCATTATAAAATAAATTTCAATATCTATACAAAAGATAAAATAGAGGATGTAAATATATGTCATCTATGTGTAACTATGGTTTTTAGATATAGTGTAAAGTTGTTTAAAACGAATTGAAGAAAGACTCTTGTGTAATTTGTAAGGCATAAACTAATAGGACTTTATATATTAACAATTTTTTTAATAAAGTTTTTTTTCAATTCAGTTTTAACAAAGGACAAGTAAGTCTATTGAAAGTAAAATTATCAGCTTCTATCTGTCATCCATCCATTGATTCTTCCTAATTTATTTTGAAAAAAATCTTTTAAAACTTCAATGAAGATTAACAAGGTTAAGGTTAAAGTTAAGAAAAATTTAATCTTACTACAAGATATTAATTAATTCTTAAAAACAATATAATTTATAGATACATATATAAAATTATATATTTTATTAAATAATTTAATTGTAATTTTATTATATTTGAATCAATACTTTTATATCATGCTTATTTTCATGTTATTAAATAAATATATAATCTATAGTTTAATAGGTATAATTGTTTAATTAATTTTATCAACTTTCTAAAAAAAAAATCACGTATTAACAAAACATTAATACATTGTAATAAAATTCCAAACAAAACAAAAAATATGAAGTCTAGCAAAATGTAAGAATGTTGAATATTTTAATAAAATTTACACCAATTTTTTTATATATAATTTATTAATAATTAAGAAAGAACATTGGTAGAATTTATATAAATTTAAGTCATATATTAAGAAAATGAAAAAAATATATATAAAAAAATCCATAAATTTATTATTCATATTCATTATTTTAAACTTTTAAATGAGATGAGTTATTTAATTTCGATTCGATGAATTTTTCGCACAACAATATTAAATTACTATTTTATGTACTTTAAAAATATGTTTAGTCCATCAAATATCAAAGTAAATTAAATATATATGGTCAATTAAGATAAAGTAAATATATTTAGTTAGTGAATTTTCTATGTTGCGTGAATTTTTTATATAAATAAATAACTAAGTTTATTAAAAACTCTTAAAAGTCTATAGTGTTTGTATATAGTTATTTAACAAATTAAAAATATTTATATTATAACATATCATAAGTTTAATTGTATTTTTCTTATATTAAAATAAATATTTTTTTTTTCTAAAATGAAGGTACACGGATTTACCATAATTCACCTAACTTTTATAGATATTTTGGTTTTGTGAACATGAATAGCTTTTTAACCATTTAAGTTTTCCCATATGAGATAAAGACGAAATTTTGTAAAGACCAAATTTACATGTCTAATAGAAAATAAATGTTATATAAATAAATAACTAAGTTTATTAAAAACTCTTACAAAGTCTATAGTGTTTGTATATAGTTATTTAACAAATTAAAAATATTTATATTTATAACATATCATAAGTTAATTGTATTTTTTCTTATATTTAAAATAAATATTTTTTTTTTCTAAAATGAAGGTACACGGATTTACCATAATTCACCTAACTTTTATAGATATTTTGGTTTTGTGAACA